CAGATTAATGTGAAATTTCATGGATCTTACTTACGTCATTGCTTGAAAAGGGAAAGTATATCTAAGGAATGTTATTTATTTGCCCTGTACAATAGTCACAATTAGTGGAAATGTTTGAGAGAGCTTGAAGAGCTTTTTTGAAATGTCAGTTTCTAGTTGAAATGTTATTAAACTGAGCTCTGTAACTCTTTTTCATTTTTTTTATGTGGAAATTGGAAACAAAAACTTGTTTGGTATTTTGTTTTTGTTTTCAAAAAATGTGAAATTTTAAAAAATTTTGAATTTTTATTTTTAACTTGTTTTCAATATGTTTCCTCCCCACCACCTCTAGCCACTGCCACCAGCCACCTACCACCATCAAACTCTAGCATTGCCATTCATTGGCCAACCATTCGTCGGCAAGCTCTAATGAGCTCCAACCACCTTTCGGCAGTCGGTTGATCACTGCCTATGACCTCTGGCCACCAACTCCGGTTGTCACCTTCAACCACACCCATAGTCAACCCCCACTTCAGATAACTCACCAACCATGTTTTCATATTTTTGTTTTATTTGTGTTCAAAACATTATTATACACTTACCAAGTTTTTGTTTTTGTTTTTAATTTAAAAAAATAAATGGAAGTTTGTGTTTTGTTTAAAAACCAAAAAAAAAAAAAAAAAACAAAGAAACTAATAACGTTATTAAACAAACACTTCAACCTTCGATACCAGATAAAAGTGTGAACTATAGATGCCCTTTGTTTTCTTCTTGGTTGCTTTCTTATCCCTTTCCTAGAGTGAAGAAAATGGTTGCTTATTGTCAATGAAATTAGCTATAAAGTTACATATGACTTTAGCTGGAAGTTGGCATGTTTGTGGTGGCCAAAATCTAAAATAACAGCTAAGGAAATTCACCATACTTTCAAGAGATCCCACAGAAAGTCTTTAACTTGGTATGACCATTTAAACAAAATTGTAGGCTGACTTTTTGCAAGAATAGTTTGGATATGTTGACAATTTTTGGTTATTTCAAATTTGATAAAAGAAATGGGAGAGCTTATGTTCACACAACACAATGTTCAGATATCAAATTCAAACCTTGTTCTGTAGTTGATATCTGAACAAATTAATTAAGAATTTAGTGTTAAAATTAAGTCAAAAGTTAGGAAGTAGTGTGTGATTTAATTGAATTATTTTTTTCCCCTTGGAAATTTTTTTTAAAATTAGAAATTGTGTATAATAGAAGATTCAGAAAGAAAATAAGACAAAAAAGGAAGAGACGAGAGGGCCTAAAAGGGTATTAAGGCCATTTCTTGTCTGTCGCTACTGGAGTTACAATTTAATTCAAAACCATATGCCATTATATTTAAACCATAAAAATTGGGAAAATTTGAAGATCAACAATACCACGAAGAAAGCTTGTCAAATGCAAACAACACTCCTGTCTACATTTCATTTTTCATTTTTTTTTTTCAATTACAACTTACTAGTCACCACTCACAAAACTCACAAAAACCCACAAATGTGTAATTACATCAGTAAGAACTATGTCAAAAACAAAAACACAAAAACAAAAAGAGAAATGAATAGCATCAAACAACAAAAGAGGGAAAATTTTCACACAAATAGATACAAAACACAATCCACACACCATATCCTACAAATTATACAAGATGAACACCTCAAGTCATCAAGCCGTTGGGTTATAAATCCACTGCACAAAAAACGATGCTCGTCATGGTCATGGTCATGGAAACGCCACAGTCTGACATTATTTGTTTCCAGATGGAACACCTACTCCGGAGATAGATGTTTTCGATCCCTTCCCTATTTGGTAAGAATCTTTTATTTCGGCAAAGAAAGCTCATGAGCTAGGGTTAAACAGACTAGAAAATTTGTCATATCCATATAGTTTCAGTAGAGAATGTTAGAAAAAGACCAACTTGGTGAGATGTCATAGCCCCATCCCATGCTGCCTCAAGGTGGGCCCAAACGAACAACAAAATGAAGTCGGCTGCATTTTACAAATCTAAGTCATTAATCTCTACCAACTCTTCTGGGAGCATAGAAGAATCGACTTCTTCACCTTCATTTACAAAGCTCAATATGGCGTCTTCCACCAACTCTTCAAAAATGGCTTCTCCAATATCAATACTGATACTTTCAACATCGAATCGGAGGTCCATCCATGTTCCGGTTTTCGCCATGTCTTTTCTGACAATTTGGTCCAAAGTATGAGGAGAAGGCATTGGGAGCAGATGCCATTCAACTCCTTCCCATACTTCATGGATGAGACTCTCCCTCCTTGGGATTGGCCGAATGTTATGTTTTATGAACGACACCCAAGGGGAATTACCAAAATACCGCTCACAAACCTCCTGAAGAACTTCATTAGTACAATCAAAGAGGAGCTTTTGGTCATGACAAGATCGGTTTGAAAACAACTCTACTTCATCAAACAATGATGCGTCCAGAATTTGATCAGAAGATAGCCACCTCAAGAGAAATTCCTCCCAATTCAAGTCGGAAGCCAATAAAACTGCTTCAACATACTCAAACGCAGATTCCTCGTCCTCCATACAAGTACTTATGCAAATTTCTCGACTTGTAGCACAAATCATCCGTTCTTCGAAATGGATCTGCAGTGGCTGCATGGGAGGTTCGACTGTAGATTTTTGGGGCTTTAACTTAGAATTATATCAATGTGATATACAAAAGAAAAAAGTATTAGGTGCAGAAGCATTTTATATTTGGTATAAACCATACCTGTTTGGGATTTGATCCTTGCAGGGCTGATGTCATCTTCTGTGAATAATGGCTCAAGCACAGATACAGGGCTGGGCCGCTCTGATCTCTCATTGGTACTATCTAGATCTTCAACATGTTCGGTGATCGAAGAGCTTGGTGGAGACGTTAATGAAGAAGATAGTAATTGGTCCTGTTCAAATGAGTCCTAAAGAAAGAACAACAAGAACATTGTGATAGATTGAGTTAGAAACACAAGTGACCGAAGCACGGACAACTCTAAGGTAATGTGTCATATCCGACATTGACATAACACAACACTCGTTAAACACTTCCCAACACTTAGATGCACATAAAAAAAACATTACTAAGTTCAAATAAAATATTTGGGAATAAAATTATAAAACAAAAACAATTGGACTAATAAAATATATTTTAACAGGCCAAACATGTAAGATTTAGGTTAAAACCGGTTTAAAACAATTTGGCCAAAATGGCTGAAGGTTGGGATTAAAGCTCAAATTTCATCTTTCCACTGAGAATTTTATGAGATAGCATATTCTTATTTTCATTATCGGGTGACTAAAAGAAAGCGCCCAAGTTTAAGGGCTGGTCAAAATGGAGTGTCTACAGTGGCCCTTATTTGACAGAGCTCGATACGTCATTTAATGACGTGAGGGAATGTCAGAGCTGAAGATGACAAGGTCGTAAGACTTGGGTAAACAAACAAAATGCAGATGAAATTGGTTGAACCCGAGGGTTGCCTGCATATCCCTTTGTAAAAAATCAAACCAGCATAGTTTAGGGGCATGATGCAAATGATATGCTAGAAATGACCACACCGCCGAGTTTTTGAAAGTTCATGATTTTATGTTAATGCAATGAATGAGTAATATGTGAAGTAAGCCTCGTACAAATGATATGAAACATAACAAGGGATACAATCCAAACACGCTCACATAAGAGAAGGAAAGGTGGTGTTAACAAACAACCCAAATAAGGGCTGGTATTAACCAAGGGTGGTGTTAACCTTCAACTCGAAAGGGGGTAATATTAACCGATGGTGGTGTTAACCAATGGTGTTAGAGAGTTTAGTCATAAAGTGACACCTATATTTATAAGGAAAAGTTGTGTTTCCAATTTGAGTATTGATGTCTAATGAAGCTTTTACCAAAAAAATAAAAATAAAAAATGGTTTTGTTTGTGAAAGGCTAATGGGTTTAGGATTTAAAACTCCAAAAGGGTGGAAGGAGGTTGTAGGATGAGTTTTATTTTCAAATTGATTAGTTATTGGATTTCAGATAAAATGTTGCAATAGTTATCTAATTTCAAAACAACCCCTGCTGCTACGAAATTCTATCTTTTTGCTTTCCCTTTGTTGGTTTGCTTCATTTCCCCAATGGAAATGTTAACTTCAAGCTCCTTCTTCTTAGCCATTCTTGAAGGGTTAAAAAGTGTTGTGGGTTCACTTCTCCATAGAACTTTAAATATAAGCCCCTGTTGTGGGTTCATTTCTCTAAGCGGGAAGTCTTCTTAGTGTGTGTTAGCAAAAATCTGGCTTGGGTCAAATCGACAGGAAAAAGTCGACAGAGAAAACCAATTTTCACAAACAGAAATTCAATTAGGCAATGTGGTTGGTGTCCTATGCCTTGACAGCTTCAAAGACTTCTTTGGAGGTTGCAATGTGAAGAAACAAGTGCAAATAAACTGAAATTCAATTGAAGAACAAGTAAACTTGTCACTTAATTACAAGAATTAAATTACAAGTTCAAAAGGCACAACAATCGATAGAGCCAAACTTGGTTACAAAGACCGAATTACAAACAGACTACTCCTAAATGCAAAAACTACTCCTAATTAAGTTATGCTACTCCTAATTCCACATGAGTTGTAACTTTGGTTGAAGATCTTTTCTCCTTTGAATTCCCAGCTTTTATATGGCTTCCAATGGCTATGTTGTGCTGCCACGTGTCCATTTGCTAGGCTCTCATAACTGCCTATGAATTGCAACTGTTGTAGCTGCCTTTGCATTTTCTCTCCTCCTACAACTGCGATGTATTGCACCCTCATTCCTCTTTCTTAGGCCACTAACTTCACTTTCTTCATTCTTGGTCCTCTTCTACACGTGTTTATGCCTCTGTCGACAAAGAATTCTAAGTTTTTGTGCCAATAATGCCCCCCCTTATTCAAGATAAAACTGTTTTTGTCTTGAATGAATACTCTTCCCATCTTTGAAGATTTACTCATGGAAGCTTCTAACCTGTAACAATCCATCACCAACTTGAACTTTAAGGAAAGGCTTAAGCAACTCACTTAAGAAAAGCAAGACCTAATCTACCAATTCTTTCAACTTCTACAGCTCCCATTCGATGAATTAGCCCTCACAAGATCCACAGACCTTCTCAACTATTTCCAAGCCACTTAAGCTCTAATGCCAAAATTATTAGACTCAGATCAAATACAAGTTTTTGAGGACTTCCTGACTGCCCTTACTTGACATATTTTAGCCATCAATAAGCATCATGCTGAGTCAGAGGCCAACAAAGCTCAAATCGACCAGCTGAAGTCAGTGGTTGCTTATTTGGCTGGTGCTTCTCAAGCCTTTCAAGACACAATCACTCAAGATAACCCATTATCATCAGAAGAAGCTCATTTGGATGCTTAATTGGCATAAGTTTGAATCAAAAGAACCCTTCTCAGGCAAGAGCAATCCAGAATCAAAGCTAGCATACAAAACTTGTTGACTTAGGCAGAAAATGGTCCTGCCAACATCAAATTTGCCCCGACCAACCTCTAACAAAGCAAAACGAAACACAGAAGTGTGCTACAAGCTTGAAACAACTTTATTTTGTACTTTCAAAAAGGCTAAATCCCTTGTGCACTTGTTTTTTCTTTGTGACTCTGGCTTGTACATGCTTAACAATTTTTATGTAAATGGATGCATATGTGTGATTATCCTTATCCCCTATTTTCCCAAATGGTAGGGTAGTATTTCTTTAAATACTTTTCTTTGATTATTCTTCTACGTGGCTCTCCTTCTAAAGATGCAAAATGATATGCCCCTCCTTTAAGGACCTTGAATACCTTGAAGGGTCCTTCCCAACTAGGAGACCACTTCCCATACTCTGGACTTTTTGTTCCAAGAGGCAAAATAGTTTTCCAAACTAATTCTCCTTCAGAGAACAATTTATACTTTACTTTCTTATTATAACTTCTTTCTACCCACTTCTTCTGTGCAGCTAAATGATTGAAAGCATAAATCCTTTTTTTGTAACTCAATTGTCATGGCTTCATTGTATTCATCCATTGGGATGTTCAACTGTTAAGCCAGTTGATTAGATCTTACAATTGCTTCTAATGGAAGAACAATATCATGCTCATACACCAACTCATGTGGAGTTGTTCCTACGCTGTTTCTCCTCGAATTTCTATAAGTTCATAATGCCTCAGACAAAAGATTGTGCCAATCTCTAGGATTATCCTCAATCATTCTCTCCAAAATATTTTTTACAATTTTGTTTGTTGCCTCAGCTTGCCCATTTGCTTAAGCATAGTAAGGAGAAGAATTTAGGATCTAGATGCCATGCTCCATGGCAAGCTCCCTTATCTCACTCCCATTAAACATGGTTCCTTGATTGACAGTAATGGACTGAGGTAGACCAAACCTATGGATCACATTCTTTTTAAGGGACTCAATAACCTGAGTCTGTGTGGCAATTTTTAATGGGATTGCTTCTATCCATTTGGTGAAGTAATTAGTTGCCACCAACAAATATGAATGTTCTTTTGATGAAGGTGGAAATATTTGACCTATCAAATCCATTGCACAACCTTTGAAAGGCCATGGCTTTACTATTGAGTTCAATCTTATGGTGGGACCCTTTGGACACTACCATGTTTTGGCAACTTTGGCATCATTTTGCATATGCATTACAGTCCTTTATATATATATATATATATAGATGGCCAAAAATACCCATACCTATTGATCAACCATCTCATCTTATCCTCAACTTGATGGGCTTCACAAATGCCTTCATATGCTTCTGCCATTGCTTTCATTTGATCTTCTTGGCCTATGCACAATAAGGTTAGCCCATCATATGCTTTCCTAAACAAATCATCACCCATGATGACATAGTTTAAGGCTTGATATTTTACCTGCCTGTCACATGCCTTACTAGGGTTAGATAGGTACTTAATTAGAGGAAACCTCTAATCACCTTCAGACACCTCAAGTGTCATTACTGGCAAGAAATCTCTATGCCTATCCCTAAAAGCCAAGAAGTTCCTCCTTTGGATTCGTATGATTCTTTCTTGGGCTCCTTTAGGAATTCTCAACCCTAATGTCGCTTGAGCCATCTCATTGGCTTCTTTATTTTCTATTCCGTACATGTGTGTGAAAGACACCTGGCCAAAGAAGCTTGTTAGCCACTTTGCCTCAGTCAAATACTCTTCCAAAGCTTTGTTCACACATTGAATTCTCCTTCCATTTGCTTGATGACTAGTTGGGAGTCACCAAAAACTTGTAACCTTCGAATTTTAAATTCTACAGCCAATTCAAGTCTAATTATCAAAGCCTCATACTCGGCTTGGTTACAAGACTGCACATGTTGCTCATCCAACTGATAAACAAACTGGTGCATTTGCTGATTAGGAGCAATCAAAACAATACCTGCTCCAACCCCTTCATCTGTTCTAGACCCATCAAACATTAGCCTCCAGGGCTCAATGTCTACCATATGAACCTCAAATAGATCTGGTTCGATAGGCAAACATGGATGTTTTGCCAGAAAATCTGCTAAAGCCTGTCCCTTTATTGCTTCCTGTGGCACATACTTCAAAACAATATTCAATTAATGCCAAGATCTATTTGCCTTGTCTGCCTCTTAACACAGGCCTAGACAACATGTATTTTATCACATCAGTTTGTGCCACTACAAACACTTCTGAAGGCAACATATGATGCTTGAGCTTTATTGCAGCAAAATGTAGAGCCAAGCATAACTTCTCCACAGCCGTGTATCTAGTTTTAGCATCATTCAACCTCCTACTCCAGTAGTAGATGGCTTGTTCATGGCCCATCTCATGTTCTTGGGGCAGCAAACACCCAATCAACAGGTCATATGCTGAAATATAAAGCTTCAAAGGCTTCCCAGAGACAGGTGGCATGAGCACTAGAGGACTGGATAAGTAACTCTTGATCAGGTCAAAAGCTTTTTGATGACATTCCTCCCACTTGAACTCACTGTTTGACTTTATTTTTACCAAGGGAGAAAACACCAAAGTTTTCCTAGCTAAATTGGCTATAAACCTTCTTAAAAAATTGATTTTGCCTAGGAAACTTTGCAATTCTTTCTTGTTGCTTGGGGGTTTAGCTTCTAATATAGCCTTGGCTTGTTGGCATCTACCTCTATTCCTTTGTGATGCACCAAAAAGCCTAAGAACTTACCAGTAGTTATCCCAAAGGCACACTTCAAAGGGTTCACCCTTCACTGGTGACTCTCCATCTTTTGAAATGTCTGCCTTAAATGATTTAGATGTTCTTCAAATGTGTCAGATTTGACAGACACATCATCAATGTATACTTCTAAGAAGTTTCCTATCAAGTCATGAAATATAAAATTCATTGCTCTTTGATAAGTGGCTCCAGCATTTTTCAAGCCAAAAGGCATCATTACCCACTCAAATGTGCCTAAAGCTCCTAGGCACTGAAGGCAGTCTTATGAATGTCATCTGGATTAATGAAAATTTGATTATATCCAGCATGCCCATCCATGAGTGATAGGACCTTGCTCTTGGCTGCTGAATCAACTAGTAAATCAGCCATTGGCATATGATACTCATCTTTTGGGGTTGCTAGATTTAAGTTCCTAAAATCTATACAAACTCTCAATTTCCCATTTTTCTTTATGACAGGTACAATATTCGATAGCCATTCCACATACCTAGCTGTTCTGATAAAACCTGCCTTCAATAACCTCTTAATTTCTTCTTTGACTAGCAAAGTGACTTCATTAGTCATTCTTCTTGGAGGTTGTTTATGTGGAGTGAAGTTATCTTTTATTGGTAACCTATGTTCTACTAACATTCTATCCAAATCAGGCATTTCTTCATAACTCCAAACAAAGCAGTCCACATACTCATATAGCAAGCCAACCAACTTGCCTTTACTTTCATTAGACAAACTAGCATTTACATAAATTGGCCTTTTACAAGCCTCAGTACCTAAGTTGAACTCCAAGGGATCTTGAACATCTGCCTTGAGGTCATTCAACTTAGCAGGAGCAGTTTTCAAGTGCTCTAACTGCACCTCTTTATAACTTAGAGGGCTATTGTCTATTACACATTCTGCCCATGAACAAACAGGCATTGACTTAAAATTAAACCTACTTGCAAGAAAGAAATTAAAAAGTCTGAAAAAGTAGATCTAATTACAAGGGTTGTGGCTGTCTCATTCTGCCTGTCTTCTTTACATGTCTACATCTGCATCTTTCTAATTTTCTATCATCTCTTCAATCGCAAGCCTTTTTTTTTCTCTTCATCATGCTTGATTTGGCCAATTCCTGATCTATCTGCTTGAATCCCTCCTATGATGTGCTTGAACTCTTCATTGGTTAAGCTTTTCCCTTAAGACTTGACCTCATCTTCAACCACTTCAACTGGTCCTAAGTCTTTATCATATAGCAGAGCCTCTATATTGTTAACATTTGTTGCAAAAGGGTTGGCATCTGCCCAATAAATCTCCATTCCCTTCAGCTCATCTTGTTCATTGTTAGTCAAGAAAATCAAAGCTTGATGTAAAGAAGATGGCACACACTCATTAGGTGTATCCAGTCTCTTCCTAACAGCACATTGTACTTAGAAGTGGAATCAATAACAAAGAAGGTGGTTCCCATCGACCTTGAACCAACCTAAAGTTGTATGCCAACAACTCCCCTTGCCTCAGTTGAGCCTCCAGCAAAATTACTTATATTAATGTTAGTAGGCAACAAGTCCTCCACTGACTTGTCTATTGCTTTCAAAGTCTTAGAAGGAAGAATGTTGACTATAGCTCTATTGTCCACCAAGACTCTGTCGACTGGGACTCCATCTAAATGAGCCCTCACATATAGTGGCCTTAAGTGCTTGATTAACTTTTCTTCAGGCTTTTGCAGCACCACCTTTTCGCTATCGACTGACTTAACCAACTCTATAGATCTTGACAGCTTAACTCTTGCCTCAGACATTGCCACCTACATAACTGTCTCTGTCTAGTCTTCTATATCACCTACCAACATGTCTGGGGCTGGTCTGGTTTGGCCTGAAATCTCTTTGGAATGGCCATAATCATGTTGCACTCTTTTGAATTAGGCAAAGAACCAAACTGAATGGCTGCTATTTTCTCTTCAAACTCTTCTGAACTCTCTGACTTAGCATCCTCTTTTGTATCAGCACTATTTTCTTCCATGGCCGACTTTGTTCCTTCTTGGTCTTTCATTTCTGTATCAACCATACCATCCTCCTCATCAGACATCAATTCTTTTTCCAATTCTTTCAATTTCAACCTTAGCATTGCCTTGTCAGGCAAAGCCTTTCTTTCCTTTCTCTCTTTGTCTATCACTGGTTTTTTAGAATCTAAACAAGTGGTTGGACCATCTGTTCTTTTGATGTTGAGCCTACCACTGTTTTTGGTGGCACAAACCCCTTTTTAGCCTAGATCAAATTCTTTGGAGGTCCATCACCTGCCATTCGAGACATCATGCTATGGAACCTTCTCTATTCCCTTATTTTCGAAGTTTTGGTTGGTTCTATTGGTTTCCATCCCTCTGAGGGAAACTTTGGATGAACAACCCCATGCCATCCCAAGTTAGGTGGCACTGGTGGTTTCACCATTCGTAGTTGCATCTCTGGCCTTAACTTTGGGCGACCTTGCTATTGCAGTCCCTTAAATGGTTTTCCAAATTGCTGTTGGCCTCTATATGGCCTTCCAGCCTGTTGTTGGCCAACATATGGCTTCACAAATTGTTGTAGCTGGCCACTGTATGGCCTTGTCAATCTTCTTGGGGTTTCCATAAAGCTTAGAGCCTTTTTGCTACCCTAGCATGGCTTTAATGTTACTTGATCCCCCAAAGCATGGATGAACATAAGCTCCTTGAAACAAGAATGGAGCATCATCCTCACCATAATTTTCTACAGGCCCAAATATCCCTGGGTCTGATCCATCATAAAACATGTGGTCATTGTCAAATATTTGTAGATCACTACCTCTTATGGTGTTAAATCTAAGACCAACATCTTTTCCTGTTTTCTGGATTCCATCTATCACAATGGCTTTGGCTCTTTTTGTCTTAGTGCCATATTTGAAACAAATGAACATTTTATCAGGCTCCTCTTGAATCTTTTTCCCTCTTGCATCCTTGGCAATCTTTTCCATTCTTTCTTTGTGTAATCTCTCCAGTTCTACCAAAAGAACTTTGGGATTCCTTCATTTCTTCCTCTTATCAATTGATTGGGGCCAGTTACCACCATATTAACACCCACCATTTCTAGAAAAGGGTCACTGTTAACTACCATCACACCTTTATCTTTCTCAGCATATTTCAGTATCCCCTTTTGAATTAAATCTTGTACACAATTCCGAAATGTGACACAGTTGTTAGTGGAATGCCTAAAAGAATTGTGCCATTTACAGTACTATTTTGTAGCTCTATCTCTCTCTTTAGGAATATTGTGGCCAGGAGTTAAAGTTAAAAATTTGTTGGCCAACAACTCATCAAACAAGTCATCTGCCTATGATAAGTCAAATGAATATTGTCGACTAGATAGAGCTACATTCCTTTTTGCTAGTTGTGTTGATGACATATCCATAGGTTTTTCAACCTTTTTCAAAGTGTCACAAACCATAGGTTTTTCGCCAATAACTTGTGCTACATCAATGTCTATATCAAAGTCAAACCCAACTTCTTGATAGTAAGAACCCAGCGAGGTTGCTTTTCTTTGTTGTTCTTCTCTAAGGATTGACTCATAACTAGTTGCCCCAGAAGACAACTCATACAAGTCTCTAAACATCATTCCTTCAAATTTCTTCCTTAGTTCAAAATCTAAACCATTTTGAGCCAATCATATGACCTCTATCTCAGGAATATATGCATTAAATCTATTTTTTGCCCTCTTAAACCTGTCTATATATTGTTCTGTAGTTTCCCCTTACTTCTGCTTAAATTTCGACCGGTCCACTAGAGCAACTTCAGGCTTAGTTATAAAGAATTGAGCATGAAATTGACTCTCCATCTCTTGCCAAGTATGTAATTTTCTGGCAAGTTGATAAACCAAGTGAATGCAGTCTTGGACAATGAATTAGGGAATAATTTCATTTTGAAAAGGTCATTTTGCCTTACTTCTCCACATTGTAGAACAAATCTCCCTATGTGCTCAATGGTGGATTGCCTCTCCTCTCCTGTGAATAAAGAAAATTTAGGCACTTTGAAATTCCTTAGGAGATGTATGTTATCCACATCAGGAGGATATGGACTCCTAAACATGGGTTTGTCTGGCCTTCTTAAGCCTGGGCCATACATTTTTTGAATTAAATTTGTTATTTGCTGCCTATTGTTCATTTGAGGGTCTAAATATTGTTGCTGTTGTACCCTTCCTTGAACTTTTGATTGGAAGTAAGGAAAAGGAGGACCAGGCACTCTAGGTCTTGGGTTCATCATGTTGGGTTCATAGTATGGTTGCTGCGTGGCACGATCTTGCATATTCTGAGGCCTAACTTGATTGAATGGCTTATTCCTTTGGTCTACCATACTGTGATAACCTGCTGCAGGCTTATCAAATGCATGATTATCATACATTTGTGGCCTTGGTTGCCCCCTCAGGTCTTAGTCCCACATCATTTGGGTTATAATTGAACACTGGGTTTATAGAATATTCCCTCATTCCTGTGTATTCAAACACAGGATTTATAGTTATTCCCTCCTCATATCTTTCTTAAAGTGTGAGAGGTCTATAAAATGACACAAGTTCATTTACAATTATATCTTTTTGACACGTCATAGGGGTTATAGAAGGACCACATTGTCCTTTGCTTACCTGAGTCTCCTCTACAACTTTCCTTGACTGGTTGGGCTTGATATTAGCCTTCTCAAACAAGGCCAACAAGTCATCTACCATCACTTGGTTTTCATGTG